GTTGTCCCCTATTGTTTTTTGTTTTTGTTTTTGTTTTTGTTTTTTTTCTCTTCCCTGCCTTTCAAACAGGGCTTCGACGTTCCTTGCCCCGCCAAGCAAGTTGATATTCCGCATCAGTAGAAAGCAAAAATAGAAGATTTTACGAAATGAATGGTTTAACTTTTGCCTGTCATTGTACGCGAACACCATGGCGGGGGCCGTTGATGGTGGTGTACAGGAAGTGCCGCTTCAGGGAGATTTTTGTTTCTTGTTTGCTCGGTTTCTGACCCCTTTTACTTGCTTTCTTTCTCTCTGCGTGCGTACCGGGGTTGTATGGTTCGTGTGCATCTTCCTCCCTTCCTTGCTGGGGTCAGGGAGAGCTAAGCCTGCGCAAAGGAGCCTGGAAGAGCCGAGGTAAAAAGGGGAAGAAAAAGAAAAAAGAAAAGAGCAGGTTCCCCTAGAGAGGATTTGGCAGGGCTCTAGTCCGTCTAACGCCGATACACCTAATACGTTCACTCTGCCAGGCAGAGTGGACCGAGCGAAAAGTACGGAGAGGGCCATTCGACAGTAGTAGCCCTTCGCTGACGAGCCACCAAGAGGAAAAATATTCTTCGGAGTGGAGCCTATGGCGCCACAGGCCTTAGTTCTGCTCCTGTGGGGCGCCGCCTCCGTGTTGATGACGGCGGCGTTGACATCAAGTGCCGCCGTGGCAGAGGGGCCGCAGATGACGGCGGAGCAGCACCACCGCACTTCAGAGCGTGTGATTGAGCACCATTCCTTTTCTCCGCCGCTCTTGCGCGATTACTACGGCGAGGAAGAGATACGGCATTGGTCTATTGGCGGCACCACCGTCATCACGGACCACTACGTTCGCCTGACAGGGGACCGCAGAGGGCAGGCTGGGCATCTCTGGAACACAGAGCCGCTGGACATGTCCTCTTTCGAGATCGTCGTCGGGTTTCACATTCACGGCAAAAGCGCCGGCGCCGACGGCTTTGCGTTGTGGATCACGAAGGACAAGCCGAGCCACAACGGCCCTATAATGGGTAGTCCGATGGACTTCACCGGCCTGGGCATCATCTTTGACACGTACGACAACGACGGCCTCCGCGACAACCCGGCGGTCTACGTGCTGTTCAACGGCGAGGGTGCGGGGAAGCGGCTGTACAGCCCACAGAAAGACTTCAGGGGAGAGCATGTAGGGAGTTGCCGATTCGCTTTCCGTCAGACCTCGCCGCTGCTCTCCACGGCGCGCATCCGGTACGAACGGGACGTCCTGACCATCTATCTATCCCACAATGGCGAGAAGGAGGAGACGCTCTGCACCACCGTCACCGACCTTCACCTCAAGGCGGATAAGAACGAGTACTACATTGGGCTGAGCGCCGAGACGGGCGACGTCACTGACAATCACGACATCGTTTTTGTCCACACGATGCCGCTCGAGGGTGTAACGTACGACCACGATGTGTACGCCAGAACGACACCCATAGAGGAGGGGGAAAGACACAGGTTGACACCACGCGCCGGAGAACTTCGCGAGCAACTGCAAGAGTTTCTTAAGCAACAGCAACAGCGGAATCAGCAGCCTCAACAGGAGCAACAGCCTCCACAGGAGCAGCAGCAGCAACAACAACAGCCTCCACAGCAGCAACAGCCTTCACAGCAACAGGAGCAGGAGCAGGAGCAGCAGCAACAGCAACAGCAACAGCCTCCACAGGAGCAGCAACAGCCTTCACAGGAGCAGCAACAGCCTCCACAGGAGCAGCGACAGCCTCCACAGCAACAGCAACAGCAACAGCAGCCCTCACAGCAGCAGCAGTCTTTTGCCACGGGTGAGGAACGTTTGAGGGAGTTGCAGCGGGAACTGGACGAACTGAAGCGCCAACAACGTCCAGCGCGTCGGGAGCGTTACCGTGAAGAGGACGAGGGATACGACGAGGAGGTGGAGGAGGGGGACGATGACCGGAATGCGGGGGACTACGCAGACGACGGTGAGGCCGACGACACGCGGCGCCGAGCACCGCGTCGGCGGTCCAAATTTGTGCGGTCTTCCCGCAGACGTCGGCCGAAGAATTAGGATGCGGAGGAAGATATCACAAACAAACAACAACAAAAAAGGAATTAGAACGGCGACGTCGAATGTAGCATTGCGCACAGAAACGAGAGTAAAACAAAAAGAACAACCGGAACTACCCCCC